AAGTTCCTTTCTAATGGGTTCTACTCTTGAACCCACCCTATTTCATCTGCCCACCCTCCACCCCAGAACTACATCTGAGCACTAGCTATGCCATGTAATAAGTTGTGCTATGCTTAAAAAAAAAAACTGAAAGAAACCATTATCATGAAGTTAATAGTCTCAGGAGCAGGCATGAACCTTCTTTTCTAATATAATAATAAACAATAACAGAAATCCAAGAAACATGAAGTTTCACACAGGGTGTTCATCTAACTGAGTAATAAAAGTCCAAATCCATTTTCTTAACCACTAATCTATACAGCCAATAAATAATACCAATTCATATGGCTGAGTTCTACTCACATTAATACCTAATCAAGATCTCCAATGTACATGTACTAAAGAAGAGATTGTGACTAAAGGTAAATACGAATCTTCAGTTAATATAGAGATCTAAAAATATAACACTGAGATACAGAAGGACACTACAATGATAAGAAATCACAAGGTGTGACTGTCATATTACCTTGCCTCTATGAAATAAACTTAATTTCTGGGACTTCCCTGGTGGTCCAGCAGTTAAGACTCCGCGCTTCCACTGCAGGGGGTGCAGGTTCCATCCCTGGTCTGGGAACTAAGACCCCACATGCCACGCAGTGTGGCCAAAAAGTAAGAAAAAAAAACAGAAAGAAAGAAACTTAATTTCTAAGGCTAGCTTAAGTACAATAGATACGCTGATTTTAAGTTTTAGAAAACTTAGAAGCGTTCTCTTCCTTGGCTTCTCTCCAATTTCCCCTATGACCTCTCTAACTGCTCTCTGATGAGGTCACCTTCTGCTCATAAAACATCAGTTTTCCTCAAGAACTCATCCCTAGCCTTTTCTCCTTTTCATTCTACAAATATTTCAAGGCTAGTTCTTCCATTCTCATGGCTCTCAACACCTCATATTTCCTTTCTTAGACTCAGATCCCATATTTCCTACAACTACTTAGACTTGTTTACCTGGAATTATCACTAACACCTCAACTTTAACATATCCAAAATGGAACCCCTCCCTAAAATGCCTCTGGCCTTACTTTTCATTTGTTTAGTTTCCTTTGATAGACGGAATTTGATGCCATTAAATTACCCAAACTAGGAAACCCAAATTGACCTTAACTCCTCTCTTTCCTTGTCTCCCCCAGATCCTGTCAATTTTACCAAAGCAGGGTCTCTGAATTCCCTCCTTTGCTGCCCTGCTCTCCATCTTTACCACAGCAGTAATTCAGGGCCTAAATCACTCTCCCTAAACTACTACAACTTCCTTCTAAATAATCACCAAGCTTCCAATATTCCCCCATCCAGGCATTCCTGACCTGTTTTTCAGGTAGCCACAGGGATAATCATGCTAAAATGGACCTGATCACTTCTCTTCTTAAGAAATCTTCAGCAGTATCCCCCTGAGCCTACACATCTTTGCATACTATACAGGACTCTTCTAACCAGAATCCAGCCCACCTGCCAAGCTTCATCTCTAGCTGTTCCCCCTGAGGGACTATACATACACCAATAAGGGCCAGGTGCAGCTCACTTCCACACTTTTGCTAAAAAGCCCTCCCCTCTCCAAGCAGAGCTGCTTTCTCCTCTGTAGTCCTACAACACTTCAGATGGGCCTAGATTATGGTGGTGTTAATGTTCATTGTCACGGTAAAGAGCTAGTAAAACACAGTGGTTGGTTAAGTTTGTGCTTCTGGAGGGAAAATGCCTGGGCTCAAATACCACTTGAGTAGCCATGCCTGTTTAGTCATTTATAAAACAGAGATGACAATACCTTTATAGATAGCACAGGGAACTCTACTCAATACTCTGTAATAACCTATATAGGGAAAGAATCTTAAAAAGAATGGATATATGTACATGTATAACTGAATCACTTTACTGAATCACTAGAGTGATTCAGTTTCACCTGAAACTAACACAACAATGTAAATCAATTATACTCCAATATAAAATTTTTAAAAAGAAACATTAAAAAATAAATTTTTTTAAAAAATTTTAAAATAATTTTATAATAGAGTTTTTATGAAGATAAATTATGAGAGAAAGAAACGGCTAGCAGACTGCCTGGAACACAGAAAGGGCTCAATAAACATTAGCTCTTGTAATTCCATCTCCCAAGACTGTAAGCTATTCAAGGCCTGGCAGCCAATTTCATTCACTTTCCCCCTCCATACACTTAATACAAGACTTCAACTGAATTAGCAATCTCGAGGCATTTTCTACCCACACCATGACCACTCTGATTTCTAATAAAATGTTTCCCCATAACTATCTGGAGACTGAATAACTGTTACATTAAATGAAAATACACTTAGACCTAAAAGAAAACAAGCAGTAATATCAAAATTGACGTATATACTTAAATTATTTAAGATACCAAATTTTATTGATACTTTCAATTGTTTAATAATCTGACTAATGGAAATACATATATCGCAAAGTGGAATTTATAAGTTGTACTTCCTAAGGAATTTAAAGTTAGGTGATATGAATGAACACCATTTTAGGACCCCTAAAGTTTTCACATTTCCAGTTACCAAAATGTCTTAGAGCCAAGGCTGGCATTAAAGCTTAGATGGGGACTTCCCTGGTGGTCCAGTGGCTAAGACTCTGCATTCCCAATGCAGGGGGCCCGGGTTCAATCCCTGGTCAAGGAACTCGATCCCGCATGCTGCAGCCAAGACCCCATGCAGCCAAATAAATAAATTAATTAAGGGGAAAAAAATGAGAGAAAGAAATGAAGCACAAAAACAAAGAATATGCTCTTCCTTTCCCCTCATTCCTTTCCTTTATCTACTTCCTTCTTTTGTTTAACATTAAGTGTAATGTGCTTCCCTCACATTACACTGCAGTAAACAGTAGGCTTGAAAAGATTAAAAAAAGGAGATAAAACAAATGTCAACAGTAAATACCCCCCCAAAAACATCAAGAAAACGATAGAAAACAAACTTAAATCAGACTCTAAATACTGAATAACGTTTCAACTTAAATTTTTCTTTTACTTAAAGAGGGGGAAGGAGCAACTTTAGTTACAATTAAATTGACCTCTAACTGCATTTTCATCAAATGTCCACATTCAAAACAAATTCTGGGGCTTCCCTGGTGGCGCAGTGGTTGAGAGTCCGCCTGCCGATGCAGGGGACACGGGTTCGTGCCCCGGTCCGGGAAGATCCCACATGCCGCGGAGCAGCTGGGCCCGTGAGCCATGGCCGCTGAGCCTGCGCATCCGGAGCCTGTGCTCCGCAACGGGAAAGGCCGCAACAGTGAGAGGCCCGCGTACCGCAAAAAAAAAAAAAAAAAAAAAATTCTGCCACTTAACTAGCCAAATAACTTCTGCAACCTTGGGTTCCTCATCCCCAAAATGAGGATAACGGGAATTAAACAAGATAAGCACTTAGCATATTGCATGACCCAGAACAAACATTAAGGCTCATGTTGTTATGCTAATGTTCCTTAAATCCTAATTTTCATAAATTATGGTACATGCATTGAACGGAATTCTATTTTAACCATTTAAAACATGAGGTACAGGGACTTCCCTGGCAGTCCAGTGGTTAAGACTCTGAGCTTCCAATGCAGGGAGGGCCCATTCAATCCCTGGTTGGGGAACTAAGATCCCACATGCCTTGTGGCAGCCAAAAAAAAGAGGCAGTTCTACACATATTTATATGGAATGATCTCCAAGATATACTACATGAAAAAAAAAGGAAGGACCAGAACAGTGTGTATAGTATATTACCACTTCTATTTTTCTTTAATTCAGGTATTTATAAATATATATGGTGGATATATACAGAATGTCTCTGGAAGAATACATAAGAAACAAGTATGAGAAGTTGCCTCTGGGAAGGAAAACTAAATGGCTATGGAACAGGAGTGGAAGAAAGTCAACATTTTACCAAATTCCTTCTTGTACCTTTTGAATTTTGTGTTATTTGCTTGTATAGCCTATTCCAAAATTTTTTAAAATAGTTTATATTAAGATCGAAACCTCATGCTACCAAAATATTCCATTATACAGTAAGTGGATTACGCTAAACTTTACAGTAAAACCTAAGGTGACTTAATCACAGTTTTAGTATTAATTTCAACTCTATTTATGATAATAATCAAAGACTGATAGAGTTTTAGCTAAACTGCCAATGAGAATCAGTTTATTAAGATGTATAAGGGTGGGGTTCCTGGAGATTTTTTTTAAAAAGGAAAGCTTAAGTATGTGGATGAGGGAGCAATAAGAATAACGTCATTCATTCACTCAAAAAATATATCTGCCCATCAGGTGCCAAACACTGTGCTAAGTGCTGAGGAAACAATGACACCCAGTCCTTGCCTTTGAGTAGCCCGCAATTTAGTGGGAGTATATGAATATAGTAAAACTAGCACTCCTGTGGCCTTGGTTACTCAAAATACAGGTTCATTCACTCATGAATAACAATTTGAAAGAATGAATGAATGATGCAAGCCCGGTGACAAAATACGCCTCGCTGAAGCCTCTAGGACTTGAAAAGAACACAAAGAATTGACCCCTCAATCTGAGAATGTCAGTACACTTGCATTCCCGCAATCCAGAGAGCACGCAGGGCCTGCAGATGTCAGAGGTACAGTCCCGGGTCACCAGCCTGGAGAGCTTGGGATGCGGCAGGTTGGAAGAGTTCCCAGGCCTCAACCCCACACTTGAATCCCTTCAAGCGAGGTACTCCCCACACCTGGGTTTACAGGTCTCTAACAGCCGGAAAGGAACAAACCCTGGGTCGACATCTAACCCTCAAAATGAAAGTTACTCTGGGCCACCTCCCTCAGTGCTCCTTCATGAGCAGGCAGTAACAGCGGTGCAAGAGAGGGTGGAACTCCTCTCGAAGAAATCTCTCGAAAACCGTGAACCAAGGAGGCAGTTTGGGGAGCTCGAGGAGGGAGGGTGACTGCCCCGAGACTTCCCCGCTCATAAGCAGTCGTCTCGGCTTACTCCAGATACAGTCACTAACCTTTACAAAAGGGGTTTCCAGGGGCGGTGACCGAAGTGGGGAGAGCAGCGGCCCAAGCCCTGCACCGGACACATCTTCCTCTCAGCCGGCTCGGCGCTAAGCGCAGGGTAACCAAGGGCGACCAAGAGGCCGCCATCTTGAGCTCCGTACAGGGTAAGGAAGAGGAAAACTTTATTGAAACCCAGAAGAGAGACGGTAGCACAGACAAATCCAGCCGTGCTCACGGAAGGCTCCGCCCGACAGAACGAAAGGGAGCAGCGGAAGAACGCGACCTCTAGTAGCTCGAGGGCAAGCTGGACTCCAATGCCCTTCGATCCCTCCGGGCAAAACAAACCGGGACTACGACTCCCAGCATGCAGTGCGGCGGCGCGGGGGCCGGGCGAAGGGACGGGGCGGAGGGCAGCTTTAGGCTGGGGGCAGGGGCAGTTGTCCGCCCAGCGCCTGCTGCAGCTGATCTAAAAACATTTTCAAGGAGTTAGAACGTGTTTGCGGCGTGTATTCAAGTAACCACTCCTCAGCCTTTTAGGTAGCGTACCTGACCGAGATTCCAAAACCTAAATAAAGTGTAGGTGATCCAGTGGGCCTTCATATTTTAACGAAATATTGTTATCTCCATAAACGGTATCCCCAATTTATTTGCCTCCAGCGTCCAACGCATCTTTGGCAGAGTACATGAAATGTGCTCCTACCACTTTTACTTTTTGTATTTCAAGAGCATAAATCATTTTCAGTGTGGCATATACTCAAATGTTTTGAAAGAACATGGAAAATTTGTGTAACATGGGAAAGTCAATGGCCCGAGATGGACTGTGGGACAGTGTACCTAAGGAGGAATTTCTAAGTGATCTGCCCTAATTTGATTAAACAAAAAATGTTTTGAGTCACTATGATAACTGTATTGGGAATACAAACTGCTGTCCAGAAGAGGCAGGCAATCCGGTAAGGAAGGATAAAGAAAGCGACCAAAGATTCTACTAGGTGTTCTGGAAACAGTGAAAGAGCACTTTGGCTGGGAAATCAGGAAGGCCTTCTAGAAACTTTATTTTTAACAGGAAACGAAGACCTTCCAAGAACAGGAAATAGAGTGAGCTAAGGCAGGCAAGCAAGAAAATCTGGACTAGGGACTTTCTTGGCATTCCAGTGGTTAAGGCTGCGCTTCCGCTGCAGCAGGCACGGCTTCCATCCCTGGTCGGGGGAGCTATGATCCCGGGTGGCGCAGTGGGGCAAAAAAAATAAAAATAAAAAAACTGGATTACAGGAAGGAGAAAGCCACGTTTCAGACTACACTAGAAACAGTTCCAGGAAGTTAGTTAGTTGGTCTACAATAGAAGATTCCAAAGAAACAGGAAAAGGAGAGCATATAATATTTTGGAGATTTCTCTACTGACTCTGTCAAATCGTTTATAGAAAAATTATTTTGATTGTGTCCTTCAAAATGTCATTTCACATTTTTTTCTATCTTTAATTCCATTGTCTGACACGACAAACGATTCCTCCATGTTTGTTTCATTTAATGTTACTAATTTTTGGTGTGACACTTTGTGAAAGGCCTTTTGAAAAAACTGGACTGTTTCTTCCTTGACTTACATATTCATTACTCTCAAGACTTTTAGAGAGTGTCTGGGTATCATTTTGTTTGCCCTGGGAAAACAACTTCTTGTCTTGGTCTTGGTCAATGAAATTACCTCTTAGTAGAGATTCCAAAGGCTTAATAATTATGGAAGTGAAACAGGAACTCATTGATAGTTTAATGCCAAATTGGCAGGAAGATCTGCAGGAAATTTTCACATGACTGTGCAAGTGGACAGAAACATGGCAAATGAACTTTATTGTGTACAAGTATGAGGTAACTTGGAAATAATTTAAATTACATTTGTTGTATTCAAGAGAATTTATTATGACCAGAAAACTAATTAAGTAGCCATTGTAAACTATTTTATTAAAATACCAATCCCAAACTCCTGCTGTTCCTGCAATTGCTAAAACAAAAACAAAAAAAAAAGCCCTAAGGCTTCCCTGGTGGAGCAGCAGTTGGGAGTCCGCCTGCCGATGCAGGGGACACGGGTTCGTGCCCGGGTCCGGGAGGATCCCACATGCCGCGGAGTGGCTGGGCCCGTAAGCCATAGCCGCTGAGCCTGCGCGTCCGGAGCCTGTGCTCCGCAACGGGAGAGGCCACAGCAGTGAGAGGCCCGCGTACCGAAAAAAAAAAAAAAAAAAAAAAGCCCTAAAAGGCATTTTGAACATTATCAGAAAAAGTAAATCAGAAAATCATAAAGCATTATCTTTTCCTACTAAAAAATCTCCCTAGAGAAGTGCCAATTAGTTCTGGACTCTAATCTCAGGGACAAAACCAGGCCAGGGCTTCCCTGGTGGCACCGTGGTTAAGAATCTGCCTGCCAATGCAGGGGACACAGGTTCGAGCCCTGGTCTGGGAAGATCCCACATGCCGTGAAGAAACTAAGCCCGTGCACCACAACAACTGAGCCTGCACTCTACAGCCCGAGAGCCACAACGACTGAGCCCACGTGCCACAACTACTGAAGCCCGCACGCCTAGAGTTCGTGCTCCGCAACAAGAGAAGCCTCCGCTCGCCGCAACTGGAAAAAGCCTGCGTGCAGCAATGAAGACCCAACACAGCCATCAATCAACCAATCAATGCAATCATTAAAAAAAAAATGATGACAAAAATGGGAAAGAAGGTGGTTGGTCGATAACATACTATGGTATGTGAGTTTCTGGAACTCACAAACCTGTTTCCCACCTCAAAGCTTTTACATTTCCTGTGCCTTCTGCATGGAATGCTCTCCTCCAAGATATCTACTTGGTTCACTTCCTTGTGTCCTTAGTTCCTTATGCTACCTTGCCAGTGAAGGCCTTTCCTAACCACCTAACTACCTAACTTCCTCCTTCCTAGCTTTATTTTCTCCAACATCACTATATATACTTTACTAATTTATTAGCTTATTATCTGCTCTTACTGCTCTTCCTAGAGTTTAAGCTCCATGTGGACTGGGATTAATGTCTCTTTTGTTCACCGCTGTATCTCCAGGGCCTAGAATAGTGCCTAAGTTAGTACACACTCCATAAATGTGTATTAAGTGACTGAATGAGTTGTCTTAGTACAAATACAAAATTTATCATCATTCTAGTCTTTCTGCAAAAACCAGACTACCTGCTTCATGAAATCAGTGATGCTCCTAATATTTTGAGTCCACTTGAAGATTAATAAAAAACACCATCAGACTTCCCTGGTGGCGCAGTGGTTGAGAGTCTGCCTGCCGATGCAGGGGACACGGGTTCGTGCCCCGGTCCGAGAAGATCCCACATGCCGCGGAGCGGCTAGGCCCGTGAGCCATGGCCACTGAGCCTGCACGTCGGAGCCTGTGCTCCGCAACGGGAGAGGCCACAACAGTGAGAGGCCCGCATACCGCAAAAAAAAAAAAAAAAATCAAATTCAATATCAGAGAAGTAATTGGAATACAGCCAAAGAGCCCTTATTTTTCACTTATTTATTCATTCATTTATTTATCATCACACATGTTTCCTCATAATTATAGGTTCTTCTAATTTAACAAAGAAACACTTTAGCTACAAGAGACAATATGGTTCATTTGAAGACACATAAGGAATGATTTAAACCATAAAAACTCATTTTCTGGAGTCAGAGTCAAAATATCTAGCTTCTAAATTCCAATATTTGTAATTAAAGATGCTTGGTCAAAAATATAATTTAGGTTCCTTAATTTCAACAAACAATAAATATGCCTAAGTGCCTTATTACCTATGGAAATTTCTAAACCAGATATACCCACCTCAGTAATATAAATTTATATCAAGTATAGATGTTGTGGCAAGCAATCCATTCCTTCTAATAAGTAAGAATTACACATCTGCTGAACTTCCAACAAAAGCTACCATTTTTTTCCTTAATGAAACACTATTTCATCTGTAACCAGAGACTGGCCAAAGACAAAATATTTGAAGTCATGTTCAGTGCTCAACTCTTTATTTAGTTTCTTTCTACTTATTTTCAACAACAGATTCAAAATAACTGGTTCGGTTGTTTTTCAGGTTTTTTAATTGAAATATAGTAGATTTACAATATTATATTAGTTTCAGATATACAGCATAGTGATTCAGTATTTTTAGAATATACTCCATTAAAAGCTATTAATATTATAAAATAATGGCTATAATTCCCTGTGCTATAGACTATATCCTTCTTTCTTATCTATTTTATACACAATAGCTTGCATCTCTTAATCCCATACCCCTACCTTGCCCCTCCCCACTTCCCTCTCCCCACTGGTAACCACTAGTTTGTTTTCTAAATCTGTCTGTTTCTGTTTTGCATCTATGTTTGTTTGTTTTATTTTTGAGATTCCACATATAAATGATATCATACAGTGTTTGTCTTTGATTTATTTCACTAAGGATAATATTCTCTAAGTCCATCCATATTGCTGCAAATAGCAGAATTTCATTCTTTTTATGACTAATATTCCATTGTATATATAATTTGTTTACATATATATACATATATATACACCACACATATATATAAACACATATATACACCACATACATATATATGGTGTGTATATATATTCCCTCTGTTCATGGACACTTGGGTTGCTTCCATATCTTAGCTATTGTAAATAGTGCTGCTATGAACATTGGGGTGCATGTATCTTGCTGAATTAATGTTTTCTTATTTTCTAGATATATACCCAGTAATGAAATTTCTAGATCATATGGTAGTTCTATTTTTAGTTTTTTGAGGAACTTCCATACTGTTTTCCATAGTGGCTGCACCAATTTACATTCCCACCAACAGTGTATAAGTGTTACCTTTGCTTCACATTCTTGCCAAAGTTTGTTTTCTGTAGACTTTTTGATGATGGCCATTCTGACAGGTGTGAGATGATACCTCATTGTGTTTTTGATTTGCATTTCTCTAATAATTTGCAATGTAAAGCATCTTTTCACATGCCCGTTAGCTGTTTGTATGTCTTCCTTGGAGAAATGTCTATTCAGATCTTCTGCCCATTTTTGGATTGGGCTGTTCTTTTTTTTTTTGATTTTTTGTTTTTTTGATATTGAGTTGTATGAGTGTTTTTCAGTTTTGAATATCCTTTATCAGGATATTCTTTTTTTTATTTGAACCACATGATAATATGTCTATTTGTCTATATATTTCCTCCTTAAATGTTTCTTACCCAAATTTTAAGGGGGAAGGAGAGGCTTTGCTTATGTAATTTCTCCACATGCCCTCTCTGCCATCTTTCTTTTTTTTTTTTTTTTTTGCAGTACGTGGGACTCTCACTGCTGTGACCTCTCCCGTCGCAGAGCACAGGCTCTGGACATGCAGGCCCAGCGGTCATGGC